TTCGTAAGCGGCCTGCCACCACCTTTCCAAATGAAACTAACTGGCAAATGAGCATGTAGGTGCCGTGCCATCTGCAGCGATATTTACAAAGTAGTTCTGCGCGCAAACACCCCGATTCGCCCACACCCCTTCTATGCTGTACACTTGGGGATATCAAACGTTAGACTTTACATTCAATTGGGAAGATCAACCAGGGTATTTAGGGAATATAAATTTCCCACCCCGGTTAAACTTCTACATTCATTGAAGATCTTCAATAAGGGTTTAATTCTCCCACCCCCGTTAAACTTCTACATTCATTGAAGATCTTCAATAAGGGTTTAATTCTACCACCCCCGTTAAACTTCTACATTCATTGAAGATCTTCAATAAGGGTTTAATTCTCCCACCCGCGTTAAACTTCTGCATTCATTGAAGATCTTAAATATGCGTTTAGTTCTCCCACCCGCGTTAAACTTCTACATTCATTGAAGATCTTCAATAAGGGTTTGATGATGATGATGATGATGATGTGTAAGAGACTCGCACAGGTCCCTATGCTGTGCGTGCCGATATACAACATTAAGTTAGCCATGATGCAAAAACTCCCATTTTTTACCACGTTTTCAGCACATACAAAGATGGTCGCCGACAAGCGCGGGCAAAGGCAGGTGTTTGCCCGTAGTTCTGCTTTACGTCCGGTGTATTCAAAGACGCTAGCGAATTCATTCAAGGCATTCCCCCCAAAAGCGCCAAAGCAGGTCAGAAGTGTGACCCTAAACGATTTTTCAGCTTCTGTACCTGAAAAGGTTATAAGTCCCGGCATCAGGGTTCATTCAAATCAAATTTCATCCGAGTACATCCCCAAGTTTTGTCGATTACATATCTCCATCTAATTTTTTTCCTTCTCCGACCATCATCCCAATACCGCCGTGTGGGAATTATTGTTCCGCCTGGTGCGCTGATTTCTTACCCCAGGATATAGTGTTTTTGTAACCAAAGCTGATGGTTTTTCATTTTGGTATGGGTGGACCCTCCAGTGAAATTAGGCAGCAGCCAGCATAGCAGGAACCGACCAAAAAAGGCCAAGTTCACCAAACAAACCATCAACATGTTTCTATTAAACACATCTGAGCTGACCAACCATCACCCAACTGAAGGATTTCCGCCGTCAGTTTTGACCCGCCCCCATCCTTTAAGGGTGTCAGCTGATCCCCGCGAAATCTCCCAGCCAGAGATCCATAACCTGCCACCACACATCGCCTCGTTTCACCTTGGGCATCAGTGACGTCGGGTGATGAGGTTCCTAAAATTTTCCCAATCTGTATGATGGGTATGACTCAAAATTGGGTAGCCCCAAAACCCGATTCTTCATCATGATTTTCCATATTTTTCGCATGGCCATAAACTGATGATAAATCTAAATATCATAAATTCCATCTTGAGGCAAACAAGCCTGCAATGTGGGTGTGTCTGAAAATGAGGACGCTCATGAAATTGCACTGCAGAAATGGGGGACATACGGGACAATTGTGATTTGACCATCCTGCGGTTGGGAAACTCGAAGTAACTCCTTGGCTCACCGTTGAATATCATTTGATACTAGATAGCTAAAGGGTGATGCACCCCATGTGTAAACCCATCCATGGTTGTGATATCTTGTGTGACATCTTGTCATCGCCACAAAGCCCATAGTGAACCCGCTTTTCCCATCCCCGTATTAACCAACCCCATTCTATGGTCCCAATAACATGTGGACATTCACTTGCCGGCTGTTTAATTGATAATCGGGGGATGGGATTATAGCCAATTGATGTTAATGATATGTATACATATATTATTCATTACACACGCGCATATACTTGATACAAGTGCAAAAAATAGATAGTGGATAAAACTATAATTAGTTATATTATGGAATGGATGGGTGGTTGATGAACTATAGTTATTAATTAAGGATGTTACTTAAAACGATAAAACTATAGATTAACATCCATTGGTCCATTAACGATGAATCTATATAGTTATAACTACAATAACGTTCATAATTAATTTCACCCATTGATTTCATTAAGCTTTGCCGAGGTGCACAGGCGATGTTCCCCCAGCGCACCTTCTCGAAGGACGTGTGATAGCACCAGGTGATGCTGGCGAGGTTGCCTTTTTTGGGCTGCCCCGTTAAACAAGGCCAATCTGAAAAAAATGTTGGGGAATCTATAGGGAAAATTGTTGGGGAATTCATCTTCTGTTTGAAGATACCCTGCAACAACTTTGAAGTTTGATGAATTTTGAGCGTTTGGGCATCACCAACTGCCGAAATTTTTGTTGCGGTTTCTGCGACCTTGGAGGATTCCCAAGTGCGCCGCGACTCAGCGAGGTACCGTTGGCGCCAGCCCAGTAGCAATCAAAGCCACGGGAGTTCAGATTGCTGACCACAGAATGGATGGTTTCTTTCGACCAGGCTGTTCCCTTGAGGTCCTCATGGTGAACGGTGCTGATGGTCCGGGCAAGCGTTGAAACTTGCTTCTGGTTGGTAGTTTAGTCAGCTAGATCCCTAGCTAATCATAGTGTTAAATACGAACATCATCTCAAATACCGAGAAAACATTCCAACGCTTTGACGCCATGAGTTTCCCCTGATATTGGGATATTGACAACCAACAAGAGTTTATTGGGAAATTTCTCGAAATTGGCATCTAAATTGGGTTATCCCAATTCCCCTGACAGTTTCTCGACTGAGTCGATGGTGCCAAGTTGCCAGCCTCGTCATCCCCAAGGATGGACACACTCATATTTTCCTCTGGGTGACCGGTGAGCCATCCATGTCAATATCCTGACTCATATCATCTGGGTTTATCCATTGGATCATCATCATTTTCATGGCAATGCCATGGCTACGGGGGTATACACCATTTTCAGACACATCCATTTTATCCCATGTTTCTTCATCCTCCGATGTACAGCTACAAAATTGATGCCGTCACCTGTGACACCACTTGGCGTAATCACCGGTTGAAATGATTGAGCCCAGGAAGTGTTGGGTGTATTTTGATGGCTGTTGCCCCTGCCTGTCTTTGTGGAGCGTTGAAAGGGTTGCAGTGGTGGGGTCTTCGTACTCATAGACTTAGGCTTTGAGGTGTTGCCACTTATCTTATCATTGATGGTTTGTTCACCCCTCGCTAGTTTAACTTTTAGTGGCTTATTACTTATTATAACCTGTGGCAAATCAAATTCCAAAACACTGATAAGGCCAACAACCGTATTTCACGAATAAACCGTCTCTCTCTCTCTATCTCTCTCTCTCTTTCTCTCAATGAATAACCTACAACCTTGCAATTTTCCGTATCTCCATAGCTGTCTTAAATTACTGGAGGGCTACCCATCCAGTATCCTGAAGAAAACGCGGTTGTTGGTGCCGATCCAACAGAATTTTGCTGAAGATCAGCCCTTTGTTGCGCCGCTGAATCATCCACATTCACTTTGACATTCACATCCGGCATTTAGCCTGTGGTCATTTAATATACTGTATAGCTATTGAAAATATATTGATTTATAGTTGATTTATGTTGATTTACCTGTCAAAATTTCATAGCTATGGTAGTTTACCAAAGGGTACAAAACCAGCAACGAGAGCGAGTCAAGCATCCCGATGAGTCTCAAACATCAAATATCCTTAGTACAGTGGGCACATGCGGCGCAGGATGGTGTGACGAGCTACTAGCGTGGAGGTATGCCCTGCTGAATGTCCACATACATATGCGCAAATTGATCAAAATGGATCTGAAAAGAAGGTAGCTGAAAATTCAAAATTTGATGGGTTGTTATCACTATTGCTGTGATTTGGATCCATTTGGTGGTTGTAGTACTCCATGTTCAGAGAAACCTAAATGCTGAACATGACATTTTTGTTCGGTGCTGTGTTTTGGGGACGTTTCAGAAATGCCAGGTTGAAAGTTGAAAGATGCGGCTGACACACAGGGAGAGCGCGAGGATTTTGAATGGGCTAGGGGTCAAAATCTTGCAGAGATAGAAATAAGCCGAATCAATCCATTCCTTCGCGGAGTACCGTGTTGGAAATCAAATTTCCAATCTCAAAAAGCCAAAAGGTGTCTACCGGGATTGGCATGTGCTTTCTTCATACACATCTTAGCATCTCGCGTTTCTGTTGCCCAACCTGAAGCCTTCTGGAGATAAAGAACCGCTTAGACTTGTGGGTTCCTCCAGCCCATCCCAAACATTTATAGCCTGTGCCACAAACAAACAGTGAAACCAATCTCTTTTGATGTGGCTAAAACAATGTCCTTTTTACCAACCATGACTGGGGATGGTAATCATACTATAAAAATGGTACTGGCTGAGGGTGCAAATGCCATTGTTTTACCCACATTAGAATCAAGGCCTGGTGTTTCCTTATTTCTATCCATTTCTGGGATCCGTTTCGCCAAAGCTTCTCACGCTGCGCAAGGCATCCCCGGCACCGCGGAGGACTGCCTGTTTCTGGGCAGATGCAAGTTTACTTGGGATGTAATACACTAGAAGTCTTCCGAAAACGTCGAACGTAGATAAAACCAGATTCCATAACGCCAAAAATCGTCGAGAGTAAATAAATCCAAATCCAAAACGCCAAAAAATAAATAGCCATGTTAGGGTTCTCGGCTTAGCCCTTTGCCACATCAACGAAATAGATCAATAAACGCATTGAATACCAGATTGTGGCAACGGTGCAGACATAAAATCGTCGTGATTGGGGTTCTTGGCTTAGCCCCTGGCCATTGCAGTAAAAAAGTGCAGGTACGCCAGACTGATCAGGTCTGGTATCACCACCGATTGCAAGTGTCTTCGTTGGCAGTAGACTTGCAATGGTGCTACTGCCCTCTGCGTTATTTTAAGACCGAAGTGAAGAAGCAGGAAGTTTTACATCTATACAGATGGTACACACACACACACCCCCTGCCGAAGCAGGGTCTTTTTTCGGAAGACTCACCGCGAGAATGTTCGGACGATCTATGGAAGTGGGGCGCCCTCAGTCGTCTCAGTAGAGCTCGATGCAGCCAGTGTTTGGAAAGCTCGAGCCAGTGCCTGGAGCTCTGCAAAGGACAAACGATGGTTGAGCTCTGCTGACAGGACGGTGAGATCATTGGCATCGTTGGCTGTATTGAAGATGCGGTTGCGTAGTTCCGTTGCCAATGTTGCCGTACTCAATGACCCAGCTGTATTGGTAGGCAAAGAAGCGGTGAGCGCAGTATTGCCGTAGTGGAACGGATGTTCGACATGTCGTGTGGGAACTTGGAAGAAGGCTCGCCAATAGTCCGATGTGTGGCGTGCGTAGGAGTCGTCCCCGGTCAGGTAGAAAAAGTAGGTCTCCGGTTCCTTTGTACGGACAAGGCCATGATGGTCCTGTTCCGTGACCCAAAGTTCCTCTCTGTTGTCGTAGTCGGAGAAAATTTTGAAATGGACTTGATGCACAGTTCGTTGAGTATAGTATCCGGTGGGTTGTGGTGGAGTCCAGGAGGAAGCGGGTGTAGGAAAAGGAGGGTCAATTGGAACGGCTGGATCAGAATAGGAAGTGGGCGCGGCCCCCTCAATGACCATGTTGCCAGTCGTAGCCCCCATGGAAGTGTCTGATTGTATCCGCAGTAGAAGATGCCGATGTCGAGGAAGTGCCCAATGTGAGAGCTGGATTGGAAGCAGCCAATGCGGGTCGAGAGACTGAAACAGGCCAAGGGAGATCAGCAGCGCCAGCGTCGCGTTTGTTCTCCATGTTGAAGCGATCGAGTTTGAACCAAAGCTGTATACAAGGAGAAGGGGCAGGCACTTACGAAGTCGTCGAAATAAATCAGGGAAAAGGGAGAGTGTTGTCATCCAGGTTGAACCCAAGTAAAGAAGGAAGAGAACAAGAAAAGGGTTCCCAGAACTTCCATTCCTCCTTATTTAAGGAATTCCTCCTTATTTAAGGAATTCCTCCTTAAAATTCCTCCTTAAATTAAGGTGGAATTTTGGAAAAATTCCTCCTTAAAATTCCTCCTTAAATTTTCAATTGCAAGGAGATCTTGCACCTCCTTCAGCAGGAGACTTGAAACCTCCTTATCCCAGATCCTGGCAGCAAAACTTTTCACTTCAGCTCTGGAATCACTTGTGCTCGAAAACTTTGCAGAACACTCATGCCTATAGAATAAGGGTTGTGGCTTCCACCTTTCACAGCTCCTAAGTGAGCTCGGAAGCCACCAAAGTCTTCGTCTCGATATGTCCAACTGTCTGATGGACAAGAGTTCTGGAGCAATAAATCTAAGAAGCTGTGGTGCTTTGGTTTGATCTTCGAAGTATGGTCAGTCTCGTTTTCCAAGCTCTTGCACAACAGCAAAAACTTTCTGCCATGCAGCAGCATTGACTGGTGATTCCATGGATTCATGGACAAGAAAGAATAACATTGCCACAGTTCTGTGGCAGCCATCTTGATTGTATATTCAAGCACATTGTCATCATCCAAAAATTCATCGCAGATTTGTGTTGCAAAAGTAATCAACCCTCGAGCTTCTGCAGCTTTGGCTCGAAGTTTTGGACTTGAACTGGCTTTCTTTCTGATCATGAGGACTGTCAAAGTAGGAAGCTTGTTTTCCACACCTTCAGTCTTGTAGTAGCTTTGAATTCTGTGGAACAAGCTCTTCACCCTTTCTTTGACATTGTTGCCAGGCAAGTGATTTCCAGAGGCAATGAAATGGTGAAAAGCATTGCCTATAAAATCGGCTGCCACGCCCAAGTCCACAATGTGAAGCCAGTCCAAAGACATTGTTCGTTTGTCAGTCCTGGTGTTTGAAACAATTCATTGATGTCAATGCCAGAATTGGAAATGGATTGCAACAAAGTGAAATGGTCCAAAGGATCAAATGCCTTGCAGCTTTCAAAGTTTCGAATTTCAATTGGTTTGCACATGCACAAATGGCAGCATCCTTGTTTGTCTCGCCATCCAGGAAATTGGACAAATTCTTTTCTCATAGCCCAATCACCTCTCACTTCAAGTAAAAAAGCAGTGAAAGGCAATGCCTTGCCATTGAATGTGCTGCGTTTTTTGTCGCCTGGGTGCCAAAAGCTGCCATCATGCCTTGCTGAAGGCCAAGTGCAATTGGCTAAGTGACTAAAAGACCAAGACAAAATTCCTAACATCTAAAGTTACTCCCTTGATGCACCAGTGCTTTGGAATACAGCACAAAGGGATTCGCAAAGTACCATTAGGTGGAAGTAAGCCAGGAAAATTCAATGAGATGCATTCCAAAGTTTGACTTCTGTCATAATTGTAAGGTGTGCCATCGATCCAAAGGCCAAGTCCTATGGCTTCTCGAACTTGGAACTGCATTTGCATGTTCGCCAAATGTTTCTTGCTGAGTTCACACATGCCACCAGTCTGCAGCAAGTCTTTCTTCTCAGAGCGCTTCGAGAAGACAAAAAGAATCTCATGTGGCAAAAGAAAAGGTATCTTCTTCATCTCTTCTGCTTGTGTTCCAGGATTGTAGCAAGGGATCAATGCAATGTATTCATTGAACCACAGGCAATTCTTCAACATTTTTCTTTTCATATCCCTTGCCAAATTCTTTTCCCAATTGGCTTGCTTCTCACCACTGCCAGATTTCTCTGCACCTTTGACCAAATCTTTCACACCAGTGGCTCCAGCTATTTGTGCATCTTTCATGAGCTCATTGGCTCTTCTAGCAGAGACAGTCTTGGTCAAAAACAAATTGGAAACATTGTGTCGAAACCTCTTCTGGTCAGGTCCCCTAAGGGTAGACAAATCTACCTTTCTCTTGTGAAACATGGCTTGAGCTGGAAAAACATGTCAACATAAAAGTTCATAAGATCTCAGAAGACAAGAAGTTACACATTGTATTTAGTTAATGCTAAATTTGGCCAATGCTTTGAAACAGGGAAACAGTAAAGGAGATCTTACACCTCTTTGAGTCTTGTACACCAGCTTAGAAGCAGGCTCTTTTTCCAGCGACAGTTACCAGCTGCGCATCTTCCAAGCAGATCCCTGCGATATTTTAATGTGCATTTCCACAATCCTGCGCAATAGTATTGCCTGCGAACATAGCCCGCAAAGGCAGTGCAGCGAGCAAGGCCCGCCTGCACCCTTCGACAAATATATAGTTTCTGGGAATTTTGGGTCTATAGTCTATCCATTGCAAAGAAAAATAACTACCAAACAAAAACGACCATGCTGAAAAGGACAAGATTCGGCTGGTTCTGGTCATCCCCAAATAAACGCATTGAATACTAGATTGTGGCAACCGTGTAGACATAAAATCGTCGTGATTGGGGTTCGTGGCTTAGCCCCTGGCCATTGCAGTAAAAAAGTGCAGGTACGCCAGACTGATCAGGTCTGGTATCACCACCGATTGCAAGTGTCTTCGTTGGCAGTAGACTTGCAGTGGTGCTACTGCCCCCTGCATTATGTTAAGGCCGAAGTGAAGAAGCAGGAAGTTTTACATCTATACAGATGGTACACACGCACACACACACATATATATATATATATTATATATATATATATATATTTGTGAATATAATATAATCATGATAATAAGTGAAAGACAGTAAATAGGTATAGATCTCCTTGAAGCCACGTATTGGAAAACACAAGCAACTTTGCAAGTGACAAATGGGTATCAGCAAAGCTTATGAACCACCAAAATGGATTGTCTAAACCTCAAGGAAGCAAATTAGTACCCTTGCAAAAAACATCCATTTTCAGCTGGATATTCCTCCCATTTACAGGAACCGATTGAAGTATGATTTTTTCCCCGCTCAGCCAGGGTTTCCCGAGGTATCCGGGAAACCTTGACATGCATTCCCAGCCAACAAACATCATGTTCACATCATTTTGTCTTACTGAATCAATCTACCAATTCACCGGGTAAAACCGTTGGTTTCCCGAGCCCTTCGGAAAAAATCAGTTGGCTTCCTCACAAAAGACCAACGTTTCGAGGTGCTGGATCAGCGCCCTCAGTGTCGACAATGAGAATATCCACTTTGGGAAGGCTCAGGTTGTGCATCATGGTGTCCACCTGGGCGACTGAGCTATCCGAATTCGTAGATTCTGATGAAAATTGATGTGGAAAAATGTGAAGAACATTCAGGAGATTTCTGTGGAATGTACAGTTATGGAGGGTGTTACTATGCATATGGTTTTGGATATTCTGATGTGCTGCAGTTGTTTCTTCATTCAGATAGTGTCGGCCTAGAGAGTTGACTTTGAGGATGGTGGTGGAGATCAAGCATTTGAGTAAAAGGGGGTGGTGTACTTTGAAAAGCTCTATTCAACCCTTAAAAGGGTACCTTGATGATGTTTGAATGTAGTAAGCGTTTTTGCAAGTTTGTGGCATTCACTTCAGCCAAAAACATCGATCTTGGATGGCTGGATTTATGGCAAGAAGAATGGCGACCTACACAGCTCAGGTTTATCCAGAAGTGGAATCTAGTTGGCCGAAGATCTTGACCTGAGTCGGAAGACCAGGAGATATTGGTGTACCTCACTTTCAGCATCTTTCAGCTGGGATTTTGGTGGTATGTCTGCTTCAGCGTCTGGATGTGAACCCACTCCCCCACCTGCCCGCAATTCTCCTAGGTATACATACATATATATATATTGTACCCTGCCCCCTGACACTAACAGTGACCACAATTCAAACCACAAAAAAGCACAAGAAAAATCAAGTTGTAGCCCCCAAGATGATTTTCAGTTCCCCTTATTAAGGCTAGATGACCAGTCAAATTCCCTGCAAGTTGGCTCCGCGGTCAGCGCATTTTCTTGCCATGCCCAGAAGTCCTTGCTATCAAAATTCGACATTGGCATTTCCAATGGGATGCCTCATGCATCCAGCTTGTCAGCACCTTGTGGTAGTGATGCTGCTGATGGCACAGCAATACTGTTTAGGGTTTAGGATGCTGCCCATTGCAGTGCTGATGGCGAAGCAATGCTGTTTAGGGTTTAGGATGTTGCCCATCGCAGCGCCGATAGCAAAACAATAGAA